TAACATTACTGTGAAATCAAACAATAAATGTAGAAGCCCAACTTCTTAGACATTCCCTCTTTTTCAGTTAATTAAATTGACTTGAATATATTCTACCTGGTTTCTTGATAAGGTATTTTACACATAATAAGACCTAATAGAGAATATTGTGTAGTGTGACATATTTCATAATATGTAGATACAACTGTATATTACTGTATATAAATATATGAGGTGTGTGTGCATTTATAAAGAGGGAGTAGTATATATTTATGTAGACGGGGAGAGAGTTTTTGTTTTAATTGCACAAGTAGATTGAGGAATGTGAAAGTCATCAATAGGGAAGTAGTTGGCAATGTGGAAGTACAGATGTATACATAAAATATTACAGAGACATTCTAGAAATAGACCTCAGTCTGACGGAAAAACAAAGCCACAGATGCATGCACACACATGCACACATGAAAACCTCATTAGGATAGAATTTTTGAAAGCTGATGTCGTTATGTGATATTACAAGTTTGGCTTGTAACTACTAACCATGTAGTGTTAACAGGGATACATAAATTTAACAACGTATAAAGGTATTCTTAAACCTCAAAAGTTGTGAAGAGTCCAAAGGACCTATTTCAAAATGCAATGTATATACAAATTGTTACAAAGAAAATTGAGTTTCATGTTAGTCTCTAGTTCCTCTTCACTAAGAATTAGATGATAAATTTAAACCACAGTGGTCCAAGAATAGTCTCAAAGCCTTCATGCCAATCCACCATATATCAACTCGTGATCCTACTTCTTGTCCAGAGCAGCACAGATGGAACTTTTGAGGCTGGCTTCAGTGTGTCTATTACTATTATTAGCCTTTTAGAGGCTATCTTTTAAAATGCCTGGGGGTACTGTTTTCTTGTGTCTATCAAACTCAGTGAACTGTTCATGATCCGTTCTATTGGTCATACTGTCTTCTGATTGCTGGTAGCTGAGGGCATGTCAATTTTGGCCACTTTGGTGGGAAGTGTGATCCCTCCTGCTTAGAGCACCAATAAATGCCTGTGGAATCTAAACTAAGGATCTTCCCCTAGAAGTATTATTTGTAAAAGCTCATTAATGCATGTTGATTTTTCTTTAAAGATTCATTTTATTTACTTGAAAGGCAGAGAGAAAAAAGAGAGAAAGAGAGAGAGAGAGAGAGAACCTCCATCTGTTGATTCATTCCTATAATGGCCAGGGCTAGGCCAGACTGAAGTCAGGAGCTTCTTGTAGGTCTTCCATATAAGTATGAGGCCACAAGCCTCCAGGGTCATCCTTTGCTGCTTTTCCAGGCACATCATCAATGTGGAAGTGGAGTAGCCAGGACTTGAACTGAACTGGCACCCATATGGGATGCCAGCATAGTGTCGCTCCCCCTCTTCGTGGAGGAACGACACAGGACCCTGCGCTGTTCTTTCGTCTGCTCGGCCCTCCCCGGGTTTGCTGCTGGTTCTTCCCGGGTTGGCTACTATCCCTTCCACCTCCGTGGAAGGGCGGTTCCCCCTGGCCACATTCCCCACTTCCGCAGGGGAGCTGCACACCGCCGGCCGGCTTTCTCGGGGGCTGCACGGGTTCCCTTAGATGTTCCCCATAGATGTTCCTGGTGCATGCCGTCTCTCTCCTCCTTTATAGTCCTCCTCCGCCAATCCCAACTCGGCTGCCCACACGCCAAGTACGCTGCTCTCCAATCAGGAGCAAGTCCTACAGTTTATTGGTTGAACTGGAGGCAGCTGTGCGGAAGCTGTTTACTTCTCTCCCAGCGCCATATTGTGGGAGAGCAGATGCATAGAATAAGTCTTAATTCCAGTAACTCAGTCCAGTCCGGGCTGTTCCCCACAGATCCCCCTTTTTATTTTTTGGCGTTGATACGCGCCTGTCTTCGGTGTCCCGCGGCACACACTCTGCTCTACTTGCTAGAGTTGCCACAGGCTCTTACAAGTCCTATCAATCAGGCAAACCGAATCCGGGTCCTCTCTTCGCCATGTTGTGAGGAGGTTTTTAGGCGCTGATGCGTGCCTGTGTTCGGTGCCCTGCAGCGCATGCTCTGCTCTGCCTGCAGGGGCTTACAAGCCCTATCAGGCAAACCGAATCCAAGCCTTCTCATTGCCGTATTGTGGGGAGGCTTATTGGTGTTGATTCGTGCCTGTCTTCGGTGACCTGCGGCGCATAAGCTGCTAGCCGCCGCAGGTGCTCATCGTGCTCATCGCCTCACTTAATCAGGCAGACCGAATCCAAGCTCTCACATTGCAGTGTTGTAGGGAGGCCTTTCTATTTCTCTATTTCTCTATCTCTGGGCATTCCTATTTCTCCCATTTTACTTCTGTCTGCCAACATTCCCATTTCTCTCACTCCACTTCCAAACTTCTGTTTCTCTTATCCCCGCAGCTTCCCGCTGCCCGCCCCGAGGCTACTTCTCGGCGGCTTCCCGGCTGAGCCGCTTCAGCCCGCGCCTCTCTCATCTGCGCAGCTTCCCGGCTTTGCGCGGCTTGGCTTCGCGCGCTCCGTGGTCTCCACGCCCTTCGCGTCTGCACCACGGCCTCGCGCCAGCCCCGTTCCCTATCTATTCACGCCCCGTGCTCTCTCTGCACGCGGCGGCCTCCACAGGAGTCACACAGCGTAGCTTACGTGTCCGCCACTAGCATTCAATCTAAGTTCCCCGGGCTAGCCTGGCGAATTCAACCCAGCATACGTCTCCGCCCCACGATTTGGCTTCCCGTCCTTTGCTCCCCGGGCTAATCAGACGGATCCCAATCTGGCTTACGTTTCAGCTTCTGGTTTCAACTTTTCGCCCCCCATTCCCGGGCTAACTTGAGAATCCCAAAGTGGCTTTCGTTTCAGCCTCGGCCTGCCCCCTGCGGCTTCAATTTCCCTAACACTTTTCTCTACCCGGTATGTTTCCCTAAGTTTTCTTCCAACAATATTCCTCCCTCATTTCTCCTGGCCTCTCCCCACAGTCCGCATCCGAGTCTGTTTGTTCTAGCTTTCACTTTCGCTTTCGACCTTAGAGATTTCTCCCAGCTTCCCCCCGTAGTCCGTATCTGAGTCTATTTGTTCTAGCTTTCACTTTCGCTTTCAACCTTAGAGATTTCTCCCAGCTTCCCCCCGTAGTCCGTATCTGAGTCTATGCCTAGGCTTTCAATAGCTTCTTCTGACACCCTTTTCGTCCGGCTTTTCCCTAGGCTGTTTGCTAGTCTCTCTCTCCGGTAATTTCCCAGTTCTTCCCGTTTCTTCCCTCCTAAGTTTCATATCCGTCCTAGGTTTCCTAATCCGAGTCACGGCACCATTATGTCGCTCCCCCTCTTCGTGGAGGAACGACACAGGACCCTGCGCTGTTCTTTCGTCTGCTCGGCCTTCCCCGGGTTTGCTGCTGGTTCTTCCCGGGTTGGCTACTATCCCTTCCACCTCCGTGGAAGGGCGGTTCCCCCTGGCCACATTCCCCACTTCCGCAGGGGAGCGGCACACCGCCGGCCGGCTTTCTCGGGGGCTGCACGGGTTCCCTTAGATGTTCCCCATAGATGTTCCTGGTGCATGCCGTCTCTCTCCTCCTTTATAGTCCTCCTCCGCCAATCCCAACTCGGCTGCCCACACGCCGAGTACGCTGCTCTCCAATCAGGAGCAAGTCCTACAGTTTATTGGTTGAACTGGAGGCAGCTGTGTGGAAGCTGTTTACTTCTCTCCCAGCGCCATATTGTGGGAGAGCAGATGCATAGAATAAGTCTTAATTCCAGTAACTCAGTCCAGTCCGGATTGCTCCCCACACATAGTAGGAGTTGTCTTTACCCACTACACCATGACACCAGTTCTGGTATAATACTTACTTTTTAAAAGATTTATTTATTTTATTTTAAAGGCAGAGTTACAAAAAGGCAGAGAGAGAGAGAAAGGTCTTCTATCTGCTGGCCCACTGCCTAATGGCCACAATGGCTGGAGCTGAGCCAATCCAAAGCCGGGAGCCAAGAGCTTCCTCCAGGTATCCCACATGGGTGCAGGGGCCCAAGGACTCTGGCCATTTTCCACTACTTTCTCAGGACATAGCAGTGAGCTGTATCAGAAAAGGTGCAGCTGGGGGTCGAACCAGCACCCACATGGGATGCTGGCACTGCAGGCAGTGGCCCCACCACTATGCCACAGTGCTGGCCCATAAATAATTTTTATTCATTTTTTATGTATTCAAAAGAGAGAGAGGGAGGGGGAGATGGAGAGAGAGAGCTATATTTTCCATCCTCCCACTGCCTTTAACATCTGGGTCTTGGTCAGTCCAAAGCCAGCAGCCCAGAACTCAGTCCTAGTCTCCTATGTGGGTCTTGGTCAGTCCAAAGCCAGCAGCCCAGAACTCAGTCCTAGTCTCCTATGTGGGTGACAGAGACCCCAGTACTTGAGCAGAAGTGGCAGAAGGAAAGGACATTCCTTTCTGTTTATCCCATTCTTAGACCACTTCCTTCCACTGAACTCCTGGGGTACACAAAAGATAGGCAATGCTAATGCCAGCATAGAGAGAGTTGAAGTGAGTGAGCATTATTAGTTGACACTTCTATTTATTAGGTCATGTAATCTATCTTTAGGGGTTTTGTGTTTGAAGTTAAGGGTAAAAGGTACAGGAAAAAGGATGAATAAAACTAAATCAGTTGATCATGGGGTCTACCCTCAACATTATGTTGTAAAAGGAGAGATTGTTAGGATAATTAATTTATAGAAGGCATAACTAACTTATTACAAGGAAAAAAAATCAACCTACTAACTCTTCTTTCTTTTCCTTGTGACTTCTCTTTTTTCTTTAACATCCTAAATGGGAAGAGGAATGAATTATCTGACAATTTTAGATTTTGCAAACTTGTACAATGATGAAAGTGTTATTGAAATACATTGCTAAGAAAAATTTTCAACACACAAATGTGTCATTTCCTTTCTTCATGGACCAGACGCTGAAATACTATGAGATAAAGATTTTAGGTTTCAATTGTACAGAGGAACTGGATAAATCAGTGCTGCCTTCTTTAGGACTCACGGTAAAAGAGGTTAATTTTAATGTTTTTCCCAATATTATTTCTATTGATTTTATGTATGTACTCTGTGTTTGTGATATAGGATAGATAATATATTATCAACAATTCTAGTACTGATAATTTACTCTGTTACTAATAATTTGGTTTGGCTGTCTTAAACAAAAAAATAATTCTGCTAAGACTTCTATGAGTACAAATATATGTGTATATATATATATATAAATCTATGTGAAATACACTAAAGATTTTGTGTTTGAACTAGGAAAAGATTTTGGCTATGTAATGATGCATATTTTACTAAAATACTGGTTTATTCAAAGTCTAATTTAATAAATTTCAGTCATTCTCCTTTCCTTCCTTAGTTTTTGAGTAACATTTTTGGCTTTAACCTAATGCCTTTTGTTCTGTTTACTTGCTCATATAGCAAATATTGGCTGGAAATCTATTATACACACTTCATTGAACTAGAGGCAGGGAAGAGATTAAAAAAGTACAATTTGTCTTCACAACTTGATGATCTAAATCATGTATCCAAATTGCACTTAAGTGGCATGGAAGTGTTATAGATAAATATTATAAAGATATAGGAGAAGATGAAAATCCTTCAAGAAGGAAACGGACTACCCAAAAAACAAACACAATCTCTTCATGGGAATGTTGGAATTTAGGTTCACCTTGAACAATGAGTTAGATTTACACAGTACAAAATGGGGTTGACATTCTCATTGGCCATGAGGCTATGTATGGTTTATGCAGTGACTATGACTTCTATGCAGTGGTTCGGAGACGATATTCTTTCTGGGAGTACACAGACTGCCTAGTGTTCAAATCCCTCCTCCCCACTCCCTTGCATTGTGATATTGAGCAGTAACTTACACATTCTAGTCTTGGTTTCCTAAGCTGTAAAATAGAGAAAATGCTACTATATTTCATGGAGTGGTTGTGAGGATAAAATACGGAAAATCATATAAACTTGGGATTTTCAAATAATGGTGAATCACTTATTGATGTTTTTCTGTGTTAGATGATTGTGTTTATCTCACAATAATTTGTTAATATTGTAATAATATTTTATGTTCATAAAGAAACTGCAATTCAAAAAAGTTAAAAATGTTGTCTAAGTTCACATGGATAGATAATAGCATAGCCAATATTCAAATCTAGATTTCAGATGCAAAAATTGATGCTGCTTGTCCATTACTACCAAGGAAGACTACAGTGGCATCAGACAAAATGTGAATGTTTCCATTTCTTTATAGAATGCTTCTTACAGAAAGATAGCTTAAGAGCAGAGCTGCTGGTTTCACAAGTATGTTAATTTTGTTTTTGTTAGATGTATGTTTATTTTTAATAGTATTTAAAAATTAGAATTTTGTCTTCAAAAAGAAGTAATGTTACAAGGTTACTACTTATTCAAAATCTTAAAGTTCAAACTGACCTTAAGAATTACATGACAAATTTAAACAGGGACAAGTTTTGGAATAAAGAATATATGTCAAATATGAACAGACAAAGGGTAAATACATATTACATGTAAAGAGCTTATTTACATACACTTGGACACATATATTAAAAGAAAGCTCCACTGGGGATGTAAGAGCAGGGTAACTGTCTAGATAATAACCCAAGAAAGAGAGAAAGAAAAAATTACACAGGTATCTAAACTAAGTATTCTAAACTAAGAATTATTAGCCTATAGTAATTAATTGATTTTAAAATTGTCACACTTACACATGACAAATATTTATAAGTTTCACAATATTTTTTAAAGAGCAGTTAGGCAGTAGATACCTGATGACTCAACCTATGGTTACTTCTCCTAAAGGAACATTTTTAAATAATGAATTATGAAAATATTTCCAATACCATTACTTATTTTAGTAAAATATTGCCTTCCAAAAGAAAGAGAAAAAATTTTAAAAAGAAAGAATTCCATTGCAGGATAATGGCTTATAGATGAGAAGCATATATTTGTTGAATTTTTATGTAGCTCATTATTTTAGATTTGAAAGAGTCATTTAAAGTATGAAAATACTAAGACACATCTAAGGGAAATGCATGAAAACAAATGTCATGGATACCATGCCCTCAGCAATGTGACATATGTAACATGGAACCTACATAAAAAGACTCAAATTTAATATGGAAAATGATTATTTTTTTCTATGCTATCACAGTAGACTGACAAATTATACCCTAAGTTCTCATTAATTCACTCTAATATTGTTTTATAAAAACTGAAGGAAATAACTGGTATAGTTCCAAGCAAGTTAACCTTGAAATTCTTTCATTAGAGTTTTCCTGTTGTATCTTCTGTAAACTCTTCATGCACTTTATAAAATGCTGATATCGCAGAAATGTGTTTCACTTCTCATGAGAATGTACTTTTAATGAATTACACAAATGCAAAAGATTACATAAACCTTTACCAGTGTGTTCACATTTGGTGAGAGAAGTAACTTTATTTGAAGTTATTTTTTCCTCATAAATTTGGAAGTGACATGTAAACACAAGAAGGACATGAATTGTTTATTGGCTTCTCAAAGACCTCACATGTGGGTGTATTCTGACACTACTAAAAAACATTGTAATTATGATAGCCTGAGTAAAGTGCTGAGATAATTTGATTCTAATAATAAGTGGCTCTGAAACAAAATAGGGACATTAAAGACTTTTTTGTTTCATTTGGCTAATTACATGCAATCAAGAGACTTCAAATGTGTAAAATATTTTTTTTAAATTTTCACATGAGTGAAATACAAACTTTTCTTGAGATATAAGTCAAGGCATGGAATCCAGTCATCTTGCTAAATATTTTATCTTTTATGAGGGGCCATGAAAAAGTTTGTGGAAGAATAGAATCAAAAGAAAAGTTCATGTTAGTGTGAAAAAAACTTTTGATATTATGCATGTTTTTTTATTTTTTTTAAAAAAGGTTTATTTATTTGAAAGTCAGAGTTACACTGAGAGAAGAGAGGCAGAGAGAGAGAGAGAGAGAGAGAGAGAGGTCTTCTGTCCAATGGTTCACTCCCCAATTGCCCGCAATGGCCAGATCTGCACTGCACTGATCCAAAGCCAGGAGTCAGGAGCTTCTTCCAGATCTGGTGCAGGGGCCCAAGGACTTGGGCCATCTTCTACTGCTTTCCCAGGCCATAGCAGAGAGCTGGATCGGAAGAGGAGCAGGAGATGTAAATATAAACAATATTTCCTATTGTTTATATTTTGTTAAAGTGCTGTGTTTTGACATTTGTTATTCCATATGGGATGCCAGCACTTCAGTCCAGGGTGTTAGCATGCTGTGCCACAGCACTGACCTTGATCTGCATAGTTTTTTCATAATACACATAATAAATAATAGTATTTCATGATATACACTTTCATAATATGCACTTTTTGAAGACCCTTTATAGTTGTGCATGTAATTTTTAATATTGTATTATGTATGCAATGAGCATCTTCTAAGTGTCAGGGACTCTCTAGTACTGAAACAAAGAGATGTAAAATCCGGTGTCGTGGATCTAAGTTAACTAAGAGCTGATGTGCAATAGGTGAGGCAAAGGAAGAAAATGTATTGTGTGTTGGCTATATCGTGTGTTAGGGTGGAAAAACAAGCCGGGAAGGGAAACAAAATGGAGCAGGTTTTAATTTAAGATGGATCGGAAAGAGGCCTGGATTCGTCAGGGCCTGAGTGCGATGGGAAACAGTTGGGGAGTGTTGAGCAAGAGAGTGACGTGCTCAGAGCCTCACTCTGGAGGTGTGTGCACAATGAAATCCACACAAGAAGATGTGAGGGTGAAGGTGGGAAGCCAGAGAGAGAGATATTAAAATAGCCAAGGGCGGAAAAATGAGGGGGCTTGGACAGGATGTTGGGCTTGGACAGTGATGAGAAGGAGTCAGTTTTTTCATAGAGTTTGAAAACAAACCAGCAGGGGGCATTGTGGCACAGTGTGTTCAGGCCCACATGGGATGCCTGGATCCCAAGTCAGAGTACCAGCACAAGTCCCTGCACCTCTGCTTCCAATGCAGCTTCTTGCTGAATGAGCTCCTTGGGAAGCAGCAGATGATGGCTAAGGTAGTTGGGTACCCACCGCCCACATGGAGTTCCTAATTTCTGGCTTCAGCCTGGCTCAGACTGACTGTTACAGGCATTCAGGGAGTGAACCACTGGATAAAAGATATTCTCATTCTCTCTCTCTCTCTTTCTCTCTCTCTCTCTCTCTCTCTCTATCTCTCTCTCTCCCCTTTCCTCCCCCGTTCCCTCCCCTGTCCCCCAACTTAGAAATCTAAGTCGAGTGTTATTTGGCAGGTGCATCAATGAATCTGAGGTTGAAAAGTCTTGTGCAGAAGATGTGAATGTAAGGGTCATTAGCTTTCTAGATGATGTTAAGCAAGAAGGGTAATGAGATCACTGAGAGATTGGATACAGATAGAGAAAAGAGAAGAACTGAACCCTGGCATACTCTGGTGTTAAAAGTTTGGGGAGATGAAGAGGAATACCTATGAAACTCTAAAATCTCTTCACTGTACTGTCTTAGTCCAGCACCGGTGTCTCTCTTCTCAGTACAAAAACATGAGCGGGACTAGATCTCTGGGGGATAGCAAGGCCTTACATTTTTACACATGTCCTACTTATCTCTCTGGTCTGCTTCTGCCTCCACTGCACAAGTGAAACAGCTCAGAATCCCTATAGCAGGTTGTAGATGTCCTGGTATGCCTTGAAATCCCCCTATTTATTTGGTGTTAAAGTTGCTGACCTTGACTGCCTCCTGATTTTCTCTTGAAGTGTCACAAAACTTCCTTTGGTACTAGTCTTCTTCCCTCACTCACTGACTAAATGTTTGTTCTCTTGTTTATATCTCTCATATTTTTTCCTGAAAAATATTTCCTATTTTGTTAAAGTGCTGTGTTTTGACATTTGTTATTGATTCTTTTAGTTTCCTCCTCTTTTTTTAATGCTCTTGGATTTCCCCTTAATTTCCTATTCCATTGCTACTGTTCAAGGTGCCTGGCTGAGTTAGATAAAACATAAGCTGAAACCCCCAAAATTGGGATAAAGTGGAAGGACTGGATTCTGGAAGTCAGGAGTTGTCAGGTGATCCAAGAAGGGTCTTGTACGTGAGTGGTCTGGAATAAATCACTGACTTCTGGATTCTGCACTTTGCTAGCTCCTGTCTCCATCTTACTATATGCCTGACTATCATATTCCACAATATTAATAAAGGATATGCTGGCACCAAGAACCCTGGAGAAAGAAAAGTTAAGTTCATGTGGAAAGTTCATCGTTGTCTTTATCTACATTTTTAAAACTTTTTGTTTGTATGAAGTGAACACATTTCATGTATTTCATATATATAGGTTTAAGAGCATAATGATACTTCTCACCCTACCTTCCCTCCTGCCCATGCTCCCAATCCCCCTTCGCCTTCCTTATTTTTTCTTTTAATTTTTACAATGATCTGCTTGCAGTTTATTTTATATTCACCAGTTTAACCCTCCACTAAATAAAGAATCTCGCAAATATTAACTAGCAAAACCACTATTCCTCAAGTGTATAGACAAGGGCTGTACACAATAATCAAATCTAAATCTTTTCTGAGATATGGGATCTAGTGGACAAATTAACTTGGTCAGCATAAGGAACTAGTTCATATCACTGAAGCAGATTATGTTCCTAGAAAGAGTATGAAGACTAGAAAAAAGAAAGTAATGACAGAAAATGCCAACAATCCTATGATAACAGTATTTACATTTAAGCTAATCTTTTTTATATCAGTATTTCATACAGTTCATGATGAACCAGCTCCTCCTGTTCATTGCTGCGGAAAACAAACAAAATTCTTCCGATGATATGCCAGGGCAGCCAAAGGGAAAAAAAATCATTAATTTTTCCATCCTGTTGAGTTTTAGTGTTTGTCTCCTTGCCAAATCCTTTAGCCTTTCAGGAGTAGTGTGTGAGATCAAGATCACAGAAAATACATATTAAGAAAAAAGCTGTGTATGGACTTCAAAACTTTTTACAAAATCATAAAGTTATTCTTTTTTGTAGTTTATTTTCATCTACATGAAGGACAGAGAGAGAGAGAGAGATCTTTCATCAGCTGGTTCATTCCCCAATTCCTACAATACCCAGGGCTGGGCCAGCCAAATTCAGGAGCCTAGAACACCATCCAAGTCTCCCATGTAAGTGGCAGAGGTCCAAGAACTTGAACCATCATCTGCTGCCTCCCAGGGTGCTTTAGCAGGAAGCTTGATTGAAAAGTAGTGGCTTAACCCAGTGTGCCACAATGTTCTCTCATTAAACTTATCTCTTAATTCTGTTTATTTTTTAATGAAACCTTTGTTTATTTTTACATTTATTTATTTATTTGAAAGTTAGAATTGCAAAGAGAGGAGAGACAGAGAGATCTTCGTCTGCTGATTTGCTCCCTATTTGGCTGCAACCACCAGGACTGGGCCAAGCCAAAGCTAAAGCCAGGAGCTTCCTCCAGGTCTCCTACATGGGTATCAGAGCCCAAGCACTTGGACCATCCAATGCCTTTTCAAGGCCATCAGCAGGGATCTGGATTGGAAGTGGAACAGCCAGAACATGAACTGGCACCTATATGGGATGCCAGCATTGTAGACAGCAGCTTTACTCTCTACTCCACAATGCTGGTCCCAAATGAACTCTTTGAAGTACCCTTAAAGACCAGATATAATCAGTTAGCTAAAGCAATTGTCACTGGCTAGAGAGTTTTGTTTGTAAGTGTGTTAAGAGGTCTGCCCAAGAAACAACTATTTAAAATATAGTAATCTACAGTATGTTTATTATAAAATATAGTAATCTATATTTTATTATCTCTGTAAACAAAGAAGGAAAAGGGATCATAGATCAGAATTTAAAGAGCTCCATTTCTATATCAGTGTGGAAGGAAGAAAAACAAAATATTTAGTAGATCATTTATATATAAATATAATTATATGTATTATATATAATATATATTAGTGTTACTGGTAATATTGAAGCAAAAATAATTTTTAATTTGTATAGGCAGCAATTTCAAAGTTGTACTTAGAATAGCTTGTGAAAGCCAGACTGATACACAGAAACAGAAAAATGTAAGAAGAGGGTGATGTGTCGGGTAACACCAGTAACAAGCCTGTCCAGGTTCTTCAGCTGGGTCCTGTGTCTGGAGTTCCTGCTTCACTGATGCTAATCCACTCTACGGTCCCATGTTGTTTATGCTTTCATGCCATTGACCAAATTTTCCATCTTGAAATAATCTTCTCACCCCACATATCTGCTATTTGTTCTGCCCTGATAAATTAACACCTTTTCTATGATCTTACCTTGGACACCCACTTTACCAATAGAGTTAATCATTCTCTTTTGATTATGCCTTTGCCTCTGAGCATAAATCTCAATGTCAGTGAATATTTACACAGATTTTAGTCTTACCCATTAGTGCATAAGATCTTTGGTGGATGAGATTATTCCATGTACATTGATCATGGCATCCTGCTTTTTTGCACAGTGCTTGATATAATGACTTGATAAGAGGACTTGATGCAATGATGGAGCAAATACACAGTTAAAAATAATATTTTTGCTGCTTTATTGAGCCCAGGATAGATCAATGGATTATCATTCTGGAATTACCATTTTTCTCCTCTCTTTAAAATAATAAAACATTTAAGCTTTATTGTTAGAAGCATTCATACAGTGTTTAGTAAAGGTTTGTAATGCATGTTTAAAGAAATATAAACACAGCTAATGATTTGAGAGACACCACCCCAAACAATTTGTATTGTTGTGGAAGCTCATGAAGATTGCTTTTGTGACAACAAATGTTCAGTTAAGTCTTGTCCACAAATGGCTCAAGGCAAATATTGCAGATAAACTGTCCAGTTCTTGCCTTTCCATCCACATTCAGATGCATGTTAAGCAGTGGTTCTCAGAGCTGGGCATCTGGAAAAACAGAGATGAGGCTTTGGGAGGGGCACACCAGGAGGAACAGACATTATTAATTATTAATGACCAAAAGGCATTATTGATATTTGGAAGCTGCCAATCAGGGCTGATAAACATCCTACACAACTAGGACTATTCCAAATAAAAAGGAATTGTCCTAACAAATACATTGGTATTGCTTCCATGAAAACTGCAAGGGGATGTGGCCAAAGCTAGTTGCCAAAGCAGCCTGACAAGATGAAAACAAAAGCATGTTATGAGCAAGCTTGAGGCAGTGTCTCAACAGTATAACTCAGAACCCAAGAATGTGTCAAAACAGATAATAGCGTAAAATAGAAAAAAAGGAAGAGAGAAATCTGAATCATGGACAAAAATCTGTTTGCTAAGAATTTTTCTGTTAGACCAAGTACAACTCTTTGGTCCTTCTGTCTTCCAAATATCTATCTTATTTCAGAAACAAAAGGCAGATAAGGTATGAGCTTAATTTCTTACCAAAGACAGTTCAGATCATTCATTAAACACATTTGTTATGTTCTATGTTCCAGTTGCTTTAGTCTCTAGAGATTTAAGGTAGAATGAAACTAGACACAGTTCCTGACCTTCTGTAGTTCACAGTCTACAGATAATTAAATTCAAAAGTTTTCATTTTTTTCTAAAATATTTGTTCCTGTAAGTCAGAGTAAGTTATCTGAGATGTTTCCTTAACATTTAAGTGGAAATGGAGTCAGAATTTCTCAAATGGGATGACAAAGGCAAACAAAAAGGGAAAACAGGCAAACAAAAGGGAAAACAGCTAGCAGACAGTCTAAAAGGAAAATATTTTTGGTATGTCCCAAATATACACGGACATGTGCTTTATTAGGCCATATTTATAAACCATTCAAAGTTTCTTAGTTTTTTTCATTTGTTTTGCTTATTGAAGAAAATGGCTATTCAACACTAAATGATAGCACAAATTAAAAATGAGTAAACAGAATTGGAGTCTAGATTTAAATAACTCAGTTTTTATTTTCACAATAGTTTTCTCAATTTTTTCTTTCACTTTGCCGGTGTCTGAATAAAGAGATGACTTAGATCCTGTATCTATTCAACTATATCCCTTTCTCTCATAGATCAACAAATAATTTATGGAAAGCAATATTCAGAAATGATGCATGTACAGATATTGGCATGTCAATGCTAAGTAAAGAATCCCCTTAGTAATTTAAAAAAATATATATGGCCGGGAGTTGAGTCATATCCTTACCTGTCAATGCCTCAAAGCAGAATAGATATTTGCATAAAAATGATGGCCCTTCATTTCCTGGACTGGATTTGAGTGTGGTGTCCTGGAGCTGCCAGTGCTGGATTAAGTCCATAACTCAGCATTAGAGGAAATCAGAAATGATCAAAAGATGTTGGTGTAATGCCAACGCTATCAATCAAATGAACTGAACTGTGTTCAACAAAAAAAGTCATACACTTTCTTTTCATGTAAAATGTTCTCAAAATGTGGCCTTCAGATTAACAATAGCACCATCCTTTTAGGATTTGTAAGAATTGTAAATTTGTGACTGCTACCACAACTGCCAGAAAATTGGGGGTGACGCTTGTCAATTTCTTTTTATTGAGCCTTCAAATAACACCAGTCCATATCAAAGAGACTTAGGCATAGACTATGTCAAAGAATATAAATTATGCTTAAAAGGAGCAAGTACGCTGGCGCCGCGGCTCACTAGGCTAATCCTCCACCTAGCGGTGCCGGCACACCGGGTTCTAGTCCCGGTCGGGGCACCAGATTCTGTCCCGGTTGCCCCTCTTCCAGGCCAGCTCTCTGCTGTGGCCCAGGAGGGCAGTGGAGGATGGCCCAAGTGCTTGGGCCCTGCACCCCATGGGAGACCAGAATAAGCACCTGGCTCCTGCCTTCGGATCGGTGCAGTGCGCCGGCCGCACCGCGGTGGCCATTGTGGGGTGAACCAACGGCAAAGGAAGACCTTTCTCTCTCTCTGTCTCTCTCTCTCACTATCCACTCTTGCCTGTGGAATATCAAAAGACAAAGGCGCCCTGGCTTGCTGGGCTGCTTGGGGCCGGCGGGACCGTGAGCATCTCTACATCTTCGGAAACAACCCTGTGGATGAAAACGGTGCCAAGATTCCTGATGAGTTCGACAATGATCCGATTCTGGTACAGCAGCTGCGCCGGACCTACAAATATTTCAAGGACTACAGACAGGTGATCATCGAGCCCACCAGCCCCTGCCTCCTGCCAGACCCCCTGCGGGAGCCCTACTACCAGCCGCCCTACACGCTCGTCCTGGAGCTCACTGGCGTTCTCTTGTCGCTGGCCACAGGCTGGAGGTTTAAGAAGCGCCCAGGCATCGAGACGCTGTTCCAGCAGCTCGCCCCTCTGTATGAAATCGTCATCTTCACGTCAGAGACCGGCATGACTGCGTTCCCGCTCATCGACAGCGTGGACCCCCACGGCTTCATCTCCTACCGCCTGTTCCGGGATGCCACACGATACATGGATGGGCACCACGTGAAGGACATTTCCTGTCTGAATCGGGACCCAGCCCGCGTGGTGCTTGTGGACTGCAAGAAGGAAGCCTTCCGCCTACAGCCGTAAAACAGCCCTGGGATGGCAACTCCGATGACCGGGTCTTGTTGGACTTGTCTGCCTTTCTCAAGACCATTGCCCTGAACGGCGTGGAGGACGTGCGCACTGTGCTGGAGCACTACGCCCTGGAGGACGACCCCCTGGAGGCTTTCAAACAGCGCCAGAGCCGGCTAGAGCAGGAGGAACAGCAGCGCATGGCCGAGCTCTCCAAGTCCAACAAGCAGAACCTCTTCTTCGGCTCTAGTGTTGCCTCTAGTGTACAATGAGAAAAATTCTGGAAAAAAAAAAAAAAAAAAAGGAAAAGAAAGAAAAGAGGAAGAGGAAGAAATAAGAATGAGAATTGCAAGGAAAACTCAGTTTCCCATGTGATTCCTAATCTTGTGACTAGACTTTTTCTTTTTTTTTTCTTTTTTATTACTTTTTTAAAAACTGAATTAATTCATTTTTTAAGGAATGCAAACTTCATGTTTACAACTTTAGGAATATAGTTATTCTTCCCACCATAGCTACCCTCCCACCCACACTCCCTCCCCTCCTTCTCCTCCCTTTCCCCTTCCTAGTCCCATTCTCCATTAAGATTCATTTTCAATTAACTTTGTATACAGAAGACCAACTCTGTACTAAGTAAAGATTTCAACAATTTGCACACACACACACACACACACAGGAACTGGGAACAAGTATCACATTTAACTCTGATAATACAACTCATTGAGGAAAGAGGTCTTCCATGGGAAGTTAGTGCACAATGACTCCTGTTGTTAATTTAACAATTAATACTCTTATGTGTGACATCAGCAACCACCCAAGGCTCTTGACACGAGCAACCTAGGTTATGGAAGCCTTTTGAATCCACAAACTCCGTCAATATTTAGACAAGTCCATTAGCAAAATGGAAGTTCTCTCCTCCCTTTAGAGAAAAGTACCTCCTCCTTTGATGGTTACTTCTTTCTGTTGGGTTGGGATCTCACTCACAGACATCCTTCATGTAAAATATTTTTTTGCCATCGTGTCTTGGCTTTCCATGCCTGAAATGCTGTCATGGACTTTTCAGCCAGACCAAGAAGCCTTAGAGGCTTATTCTGTGGTCAGAGAATTACATAAAGCAATTGTCATTCTGTGAGTCTGCTGTGTGGACTGCTTCTCATGTTGGAACATTATCTCCTTTTTAATTCTCTCTACTGTAATTACCCCACACTTGATCCTATTTATATGGTCATTTTAACACTTAATCCTATCTATATGTTCACTTAAAAACTTAATATGATCACTTTAACACTTAAGATTACATTTTTTATCACCAAGCTCAATGGAATTTGGGGTTCCATGACAAGTTTTTAAACTGTGCCCTTAGAAGTAAGTCCTTAGGAATATATGCAGAAGTATACAGATTTACAGTTACAAACTTCCTCCTCCCTCTCTTATTCCCACTCTTATTTGTTTTTTTTTATAACTTT